CAGTTTCAACAAAACTGCGATAATGTCCATTGAATCTTACTCTTCTAACGACATCACAGTGAATGGATAACGAATACCTCGGGTTAGAGATCAAAAGATCCTAGGGGTTATTGTAAATCACGACTCAAAAGTGACTGCTAATTGCAATGCTTTTCACATGCTTTGGTCGATCCTCAGAACATTAAAGTTCCTCGATGAGATGCTTAAGGTCTCATATCACACTTTTGTAAGAACTCATTCGTAATACTGCTTCCAGGCGGCTAGTCCATGCTTCAAGAAGTAACCTGATATGCTAGAAAGGGTCCAAAACGTTGGCACCTAATTAGTGATACGTCTTGCCTATCTTCCTTATGAAAAATGATTAGTAAGGCTAGGCATTTTCCCTTGTCCTATCGCAGGAAAGAGGCAACCTGATTTCAGCCTTTCACACTCTCAATAATGGTCTAGCTACTGATTCATCATATTTCTTCACTTCTTCCAGTAAGAACCACCTTCGAGAACATCAAAAAGAGACCCAAAAGCCGCGGTCAAATCATATCCGAGTGGAGTGCCAGTTCTCCCATAGAGTGGTCAGTGGTGGGGACGTGTTAGATTCTGATTCAGCTTCCGATTTTTTGTTTGAGGATAGAAGGCTGTGAGCCCATATTAATTCTTTTCCAGTAGATTTCTGTGCTTGTCCGATCCCCTTTTGAACGAGTCAATTGATGATGAGGATACCAACTCTTCTGGCAGTCGGTTCCAGGAATTGATTACTCGACGAGAACACCATTACTCTGTGAAGACTATGTTCGTTCTTTGCTTTTGTGTCCTCCTGCTGTGTCCCCAGAGATGTTTCAACCTAGTGGGAAGGAAAAGAGAAGATGGATCAGGTCCAAAGTTATTTCTTAGGATCTTGTATAACGTGGTTAGATCTCCCTTCTGTCTGCGTTAGGATAAAGAGAAGAGGTTCAGCTTCTTAAGTCGATCTTCATTGGTCAGACCAGCCATCTCAGAGATCACACGATTGGCTGCCCTCTGAACTCCCTCCAGAAGGTTTGAGTCACCCTTCAGAAAAGCATTTGTCGCCTGTGTACACTTTTTTAATTTAGACCCGACTAAAAATATCTACAAGATGATGAACATATCACCACTTATTTTCGTGAATGCTCTGCATAATGCAAAAAGTGTCTTCAACCTCCAAACTGTGATTTTCAAATCACAACTCACTGTGGCTTCTAGGTCACTTTGAGTCAGTATTGGCGGTAGAGGAGGTCAATCAACATGTTAGATACTGTCACATATGTGTTCCAGGTGCATGTTCACACATTTACCTGCGTTGGTAGGCATCAGCCACTTCTCTGACCAAGTAAACAAGTTATTTATGTCTCCCTGAAGTGCACCTATATCTTCGTCATTCCCAAATTCCTGCCGGATTTCTGCATCATCAACGTAGAGGGCCATATAGGATTTCGTGATATTTGGTAGCTCATTTATGTATAGCATAAATACCAGAGGACTCAGGACTGTACATTGCGGGACTCTACTCTCTGTCAACTTCCAAGAGGAGAGTTGAGAACTGATACTCACTCTTTCTTTCCTATCAACAAAAAACTCTTATTTATGCAAACAGACTGCCAGCGATTCCAAAACGTTCCAGTTTCCCGAGCAACCTGAAATGAGACACCTCATCAAACGCCTTAATGAAGTCTATGAAAATGACATCTACAGGTATCCAATCACCCTTAGACTTAACCCTACTTTCTCTGACTGTGAGAAGGTTCGTCAAATAAGAGAAATTTCTACGAAAGCCATGCTGCGAACGAGACAATAGAGTGTTTCTCTCTTAGTGGACTGTAATGGCTTTCTTGGATACTCTTTCTGGGATTTTTATCACAGTACTAGTGGAACTTATGGGTCTTTAACTTGAGAGGTGCTGCCTAGGACCTGACCTATAGATAAATGTGACCATGGCATCCTCCCAGTCACAGAGGAGTATGCCTTCACTGAGGGACAGTCTAAATATAGTAGTCAACAGATAGGCTAAAAAGAGTGCAAGCTCTCTGAACAGTCTTACGTGCAGCTCATCCGGTCTCTTTGATTTTTCTACATCAAGAGTACTTAATGTTTTAGTACATCCACAGAGTTTTTTGGATGTCAACGCTTCTCCTGTTGAACCAGTGTTCACAGAAAGCTCCTGTGTAAAGACTTAAGTAAAATATCCAGCCATAGCTTCTGCTTTTTCTTTATCGTCTTCAATCAAACAGCCACCTTCTGTTTTTTTGATTGGGGGGAATATACCACAATACAGCCTATTCCTATGGTCCAACTAAGAAAACAACCTCTTTGGAAGTTGCAATTCAGCCTAGGCAAGACGTGTTTCAAAGCATTTTCGGGGTCGGTGTATAGCAGCGATACATTTATTTCAGGGTTTCTTTTTAATGCTTCACCACCTCGGGAGCACCGACGTGGGTAGCAAGACTCCAACACTTTTTCTTGCGTCACATCTACACTCAGACTTCGTGGTTTATCCACGGAGGACAATGTTACCGCCTCTTCCGAACATTTTCACGGAATGAACAGTCGAGTCACTAGTGCGTATAACTGTGTAAAGAGGCATCATGCAGCTTCGACTGAGGCTTACGGATTGACTGTCCATCCCCCCCTCGAAGAAGCTGCCAGGTTAATGACTTTCATATTCGCTTTACACATATTAGATACAGCTGGGGCATCAGCCTGGTACAATACGGCTGCTGTGGATCTGAAGATGACTACAGCGTGATCACCTGTACTAAGGGGTGCAAGGTGCAGGATGAAGCATGAATCATCTGTGTGTGAGAATACTAAGTCTGGAACTGATGGAGCATCCTGGTGATCATATCTGGTAGCTGTCCTAATGCGCTGTGTAGGGGTCAAGGAAATTGATGTTTCCACTAACCTGTAGTCAGACGAGTTACGTGATGCTTCTGTTGTTAGACTATTCCAGTCAACTAAGGGTGTGTTGAAGTCTGCTATAACTAAGCACCGGCATTTATCAGCCCAAAGGGTCAGCTTATTCACGAGGAAGTCTGCCGCTTCATATTCAGGGCTTCGATATACTGCAACTGAGTTAACATCTTGTCCCTTACATTTCAATCGGTAGCGCAGCATTTCACATGTCCCACTTCCATGTGCAATCATTTCTGTGGCTTTTACAGTTAAGCTACTCTTAACGTAAAGGATGGCACCATCACGTTTGAGTGCTAACCCATCACTTCTAAGAGGAACGAATCATCCTAAGTCTGTTTCACAGTCACTGATCCGAGAAAGCTAAGTTTCTGGCATCGCAATGATGTCAGGACTTTCTTTGCTCATCACAATATTAAGCTCAGTCCACTTGTTTAAGAGACAACGTGCATTTGTGTACAAGAGAATGAAACTACCTAAATGAGCTTCCGTCTTATCCATAGAGGCTTCGGCATCATTTGTTGTCGAAACCTCAATACACAAAAACCCACCACATTTATATCTTACTCTCCTACTGTTCATTTGGGTTTTAGTTCTTCTTCTGCTCCTTGGTTTTTGGTTCTATCGGCAAGTGAAAAACCTTTACGCAAAAACACTCCAGATCCTTGAAGTCTATCAGCGTTCTTCAGAATTTGATCCCTCTTCTCTGTCGATCTGAACCTGACTTTGGGTAACTGAAACCTGTTTACAGTACAGAAGGCCTCTTTTTCTTAATCTGCATATCTTGAGCAGGGTGACTCCCGATGTATTTTCCGGTAAAAGCTTGTTTATTACACTTCGTATGTTGCCACGGTCATGTTCAAAACGGTTATGTGGTTATCAGTCACCACTTTCTTACACTCTGCGCAAGATTACAGACCTCATAAAGAGCTCCACTTTATCTTTTCTCGATGGAGTGATGAAAGTTGGTTCGACAACCGTTACCGGCTGCTTGCCATGCAGCTTAGACTTGATTACTCGCCATTTCTCGTGGTCGAATATGCAATGCTTATGAAGCCTAGCACGGTGACCTTTACATTGGCAGCCTCAAAACGGACTTGTATCTCATTTTGTTCAATTATTGTCACTGATTGGGCAGCCGAACTGGGTAGGACTTGCGGCCCACATAGTTCCGTGGTTAGCACTGAAAGTGCTTTACTCTCGTCCCTCTTATCGTAAAATGACATGTCGATAGCTCCCAGACTGGGCCTCTCAGCTCTAGAGATACTCGCTTCACTGTACTTTGTGTATCTTTTTCTAAGTTGCGTCAACAAACTTAGTAGGTAGTCTATGCGCCCGACTTAAAACTTGTCGTGAGACGTTCTGAAAATTTTGCATAGCGATGTGTGTCTGTATATATATATATATATATATATATATATATATATATATATATATATATATATATATATATATATATATATATATATATGGTAGTTGTATATGAACTGTATGGTTCACATACAAATGATCGGACCTGTTCTGTCTCCATAAGGGCCTTTAAAAACTCTCTCAAAACCTCTTGTACTTTCATTTATATAAGCCATTAGCCCCGATGATGCATAAGCGCTGTTCGCTACATTATTGAAATAGTTTTGCAATAAAGACGAATCCAGAAATCTAGGAGTGTGAAGTAATAGTTTTGATTGATCAGCCTTAGGCTTTCTTGGAAAAGCATATTAGATACAGTAGAATGAGTGCTGGAAGAGGATATGAAAACACACGCTTGACCGGACTTTATCACTGCCTCTGTCCTACAGGATTTTCAAAAACGTGTTTTAGTGTTTTCGTGAAGTGCACTATGTTGGACAAATAAAACAAAAGAAACTGTTCGAACAGGGCTAGTCAGATAATAGACGATATTTATTTACAGTTTCTTATGTAAAATATTCAACACCTAACTCCCGATACTAATCTACCAAAGACTGCGTAAACAGGGCTATCGGTGCGTTTTACTCGTTTCAGATGACCTTTGTCAGCTGTTACAAAGCGACCTTGGATGGGTCTCTGGCGGTGCAATAATGTTGGATTAGTGTAAAATGTTTCCTGTTGGCCAAGGGAAGTATGAAAACTTGGTTACCGAAGATGACCACTCACATACGGATCCTAACGTAAGAGTCAGTACTGCTTATAGTAAGCGAGGAGCATGGGATCATATACAGAATTTGGATCAGTTCTTCTCGGATATTTATAAATACCATCAGTGTGGGGGATTCACTGTAAGTTTAGTAACTATTATTTTACCCTTACGCACCACTATTTACCTCTTCAAGGTAAATTCACGAGAATCCTGTGAACAGGTTTTATTGTGTGCTACTAAGCTTTTTAAAGGTGAATTAAGGCCTTACTTTAGGCGCCTTCCTATATTGTGAAGTATTGTGCACATGTATCAGTAGTCGTTAGTCGAAACTCTAGCCCAACGGCACTTGCGGTTCAACTGGTCACCTCCTTTATGAAAAAGCGTAGTCAGCAACTGTACTTCTTAGCATCGTTAACATCCACCTATAAACCAGTTCGAAAAAATATACTGGTTTGTATAAGCTCGTAAAACGTATTTGATTTGGCGTAATATGCTTATCACTGAAGATGACCTATGACAAGGGATTAATACAGGAACCCATCATGATTCCTGGAACTTGAAGCATTACCTATCCATTTAGAAACCTGACAGATTGTCGTGTACTACAAGCCTTGTAATACAAAATTAGTTCTGAGTACTTAACAGTAGGTTTGTTTATCTATCCAACCTTCTCGCTGTTTTATCCACTTTTTCCAAGGCCCACCACGGTGCTTATGAGACTTTGTGGCTTGTCATTCTATGACCTATATATACAATATATCTCGTCCGTAGAATTCACCAGTGCATCTTATCAACCATATTGACTGACTGATAAAGTCAACCTAAAACCTCGCACTCAGGTGCGTCAGCTCAAGTTGCCACATTTCAGTATAAAAAGAACCAACCCAACCATATTACATGAAAAATGCTTGTGGTGTGGTAGGTCTCGTTCTGCTGACTTTTCAGTTACTTTTTATAAGCATGGTCGGTTGCTACCATCTTGACGTGGCAGTCGGGCTTTTATACCTCGAAGATCCAACGGGCTATGCTAGTGGAACGTTTGTCCCATGTAAGTAACGTATTTTGGGTAGCAGTAAGACCTCAAACAGTTACCGTTGGAGTGTAGAATTCTGCGCATGATGGAGTTCCGAGGACGAAGTCCTACTGCTGCCAGGACGGAGGTCGACAAAGGTGGAGTGTTTCCTAAGGATGGCCATCAGTGCCATTCTCTTTCTGCCTTACCGTTGACAAGGTTAACCGTAAAATGGCTTACTCCATTCCACTTCGTAGCACACCTCTACTGGTGGTATAAGTACATGGTTGGACTACAAAATAACAGAATTAAATATCAAACTTCTACAAAGACTGTGTGCAACCGTCCTGAAGTAGGACATCCCTTAAACTCTACGGTCACTCATTCACCTTTCGACCGGGACGCGTCAAACCCCACCACAAATCTCTCAGCAATCAAGCTCCCTCACATCACTATCAACCTCCCACATCCTTACCTTCTCATCTTTCTTCACATCTGTCGATCAACATTCCCACAACATCTTTAATTTCTTCCAGCTCTTCATAGTGATTCGACTTCACAAAACAGCATACCTGACCTACTGAAACTGTGCTTCAAAACATACGCCGGAGCTCCCAGTATCTGTACCCTCCGTCAATTCGACAAACAAGCCTCGCTAGCCAAAACTCTGGCCATAGATGTGTGTTATGTTTGCAAAACACGCATACAGGACCCAAGTACGGTCATTCACTTAACCTCATCCGACCAATATGGTGAATTTGAAAACTATACCCTTCGAGTTTCTGGAGATCCATTGGTATAGTTATCAGATGCTAAAGCAGAAAGTGCTCTGCTGGACTTGATCACATTTGACGGTCATCAATGCGCTGTTAGATTGAATGGCACAGTAAGGACTAAAAGGAATAGTGGAACCCGCCATTGTCTGTTTGCAATCTCTGCTTGCGCACCTTTTAACTTACAGTTTGGATGAAGTGAAGGACTAATTCTATCGAAAATTGTCCAGCCGGCTACTGAAAGCCAAGCGTTCAGAAGTGGTTGTCGTAGTAGGTGGTTTCAATGCACAAGTTGGTAGACTAAGTCAAACAGAAAGGCACTTAGGTGGCCCTTTCGGAATCCCAGCCGAACAAACACATAACGGTGGTTGAGTATTACAATTATGCTCAGCACGCACTTCAGACATAAAGAGGGACATTGTCTGACATGGCGTTCACCGAACTCAAGTCAGCGGTGGACACGGATACGCTATATTGCTACCAGTTATCGCTGGGAAGGGTCGATGGAAGATTGCCACTCCTCCTGGAGCAGGTATTGGACACCAAGCGCACGTATCTATGCCTAAATGGACGTAAAAAAACTACAGCAAGAAGATCATTCCGAGTGCAACCAAACGATAATTATACTTAGGCTGATTTCCATGAGAAACTGGCTGAATAGTTATCAAAACATGATAGCGTCACTCATCTGGAAGAGGTCTTTCGCCGTCTCCAGTCTTCAGTAAAAGCAGCGTCAAAGACTGTAACTGACTATCTAACCCCTTTAGATTAGAAAAGGATGAGTGGATCTCAGCGGCTTTTCTGGATTAATGGATGCACACAAACGCATCACTGCAGACTGAGCTTAACGAGGAGCGTAGTCAACACAAACTCAGACTGACGGGAAGTATGCCCAATGACTGCGAACAGTGGTGGGCAGCGAAGTCTAAAGAGATGGAAAGGGTAGCGCCAAGAGTAAACAGTCTAGGCTTATCAAGGACATTAGGGCAAAATGGTGAAGGATTAGTGAGACAATGATGGAGAAGGATAAGTCTTGTACCTTATAGAACCATTGAAAGCTAACCACTTGGAAGTTAATTCTCCATACACTTTTACTAACCACACTTTTTGTATCCATGTCTTTGCAAGCAGACTGATTGACCAAGTACCACTTTAGTACTGAAATCATAAACATTTGTACGTAAGACTTGTATTTAAGAACCATAACAGGAATATAGAATTGTAATTGCTATTCATGAAAATGCAACAATGATCGTTAAGCCCTTTGCCTGGAGTACCAGAAATTATCACCAGCTGACTTGACTGGATCAAAGGCTAGATTAACAAGATAGAAGTGTGAATTCCATAGCAGCAACTCATTCAGCAGAGGAAGTTGGTGACAGTCTTTGCTGTAACGCTTTCCATGCCTTCTCAACTTGAAATTGTGAACATTCTGGTTTCCATTGTGTACATAATATTACATGCGCACGGTCGAGTGGGCTTTTCTGAGAGCAATACTGACCTGCTTCAAACCACGTGTAGCCACCTGTCATCTCAGCAACCGCAGAGGCTTGTCGTGCAATGCGTTCTGATGCAGCTTCAGGACTTAGATTATTCCTCTCACACAATCGACGCTGAGCTTCTGAATGGGGTAGAATAGTCAGCCATACCTGAAAAGGAAAAAGTGAGGCTCTGCATTTGTGACTAAAAGACCTAGAAAAACTCCTGTTATAAGCCAACATACTCAAGCTCCATGGCCGAACATGCATGTGTCAAATGCTATGACTACTGAGTCAAGAACTTCCCAACTGATTTAGTGAAAATCACCTGGACACTATTACACAAAGATGGTTTATTGGCGTAGGACTTAAGCCAGCAATTCGATGTCTTTGGGTGCAGATGATCGATCCTCTCTAAGCGTAGAACAAACCACCAACTTGTAATAGTAAGCTTATTCTGTATTCGACACTACATTTTTTTTCTATCACGACAAAACAGACGTTCTCAGTCTTTCTGCAAATGCTGTGGTTCGCTCGACTACAGACCAAATGCAATATTTAGCCTGACAAATAAAATAAGCAACCAGCTTTTTCTAAGTATAAAACTATGTCTCATTCACAGAATCCAGCTCCATAAATTGACATTTGCAACACCTGAGTCAGTAAACTTTTAAACAAGTTATAAAACGTGACAAGGAAGGGCGTCAGAGCCAAATGGACTGGTATAGGAAGTATTTAAGGTCGGTGGTCGAGGGTTGTTGGTCAGGTTAACTGAAGTGTTAGCCAGCGTATGGCGGCTGGATATGATACCATCCAACTGGTCCCAATCACTAATTGTCCTGGTCTTCAAGAAAGGGGACAAATCCTCTCATGATATCCACAAGGGAATCAGCCTGACTAACATTGTGTCTACGATCACTGGAAGTCTGAGTAAAGCTCGAGAACAGCAAACTCAAGAAAACCACATCGGCTTCTGACCTCACCGTGAATATCGATTAGACGTTCATTTTGCGTAGGGTTCTGGAACGCAGGCACTCTAGTTTTGGTTCTCGATCTGAAAGAGGGGATTTGATTCCGTCTACCAAGAGGTTGTATGATACTGTCTCTCGCTGAAAAAAGTGCTGAGTAATTCCATCACTCTGTTAGAAGGCTGTTACTTGAAAACCCGTGAGCACGTTAAAGACTGTACTTGGATATGTACATCGAGTGGTCTCCGTAAAGACCTCCGCTCTTTCCATTATTATTCAATTTAATCGCAGATGTACGTATGGACGTCCTCCCTTTTGCCATCTGACTTTACATAGATTGATCTAGTCACAGGAAACTCCTAAGTTCACCCAGAGGACGTAGTCCGACGCCTACTGGAGTTCGAAAACAGCAAACTCGAGAAAACCAGGCAGGTTTCAGACCTAAAAGAGGGTGCGTCGATCACACTTTTACCTTCCGACAGGTTCTCGAACGCAGACATACTGGCGGCCGTCGCTTGCGATATCTCTTGACCTGAAGGCGGGACTTGATTTTCTCGACCGTGAAATGTTGTGGCAGTGTTTGACTATTAAAGGGAATACCGAGAAAGTATATGCTGCTTATCGAAGTGTGATGACCAGTTGTTGATAAGTTTTCGTCTAACCTGTAGATAGGTACGTTGTTGCAGGGGGGGGGCGCAGAGCAGTGTAAGTTTGGTGGTGGCCACGAGAACCTGGAAAAGAAAAAAGGAAGAGAAGAAAGGTGAGCCGACGACTCAGCAAGTAGACAGGATGTACTTACATTTAATAATAAAAGATAACTGACAAACGGTAGAGCTGGACAACGAAGAGGTGAGGCGAAACTCTAAGGTGAATGAGTAAGATTTTGGATGTGCTACAAAAGCCCTCTA